CTGCTCCTCCAGGTCCCCCCGGCCGAGCCGGATCCGCTCCCCGGGGAACCGGCCGGGCCCGGAGCTCCAGCACCGAGAGCTGCGCCTGGAGGGGACGGGAGTGGGCACCGCCTGCTCCGGACACCCCAGAACAGCCCGTGCCGCTGGGATGGACCCGGAACCGGGACCGGGACCGGAACCGGAACCGGAACCGGGACCGGAACCGGGACCGGGACCAGAACCGGCACCGGGATCGGAACCGGGACCGGGACCGGGACCGGGACCAGAACCAGAACCGGAACAGGGACCGGAACCGGGACAGGGATCGGCACCGGAACCGGAACCGGAACCGGGACCGGCACCGGGACTGGGACCAGAACCGGGACTGGGATCGGAACCGGGACCGGGACCGGCACCGGAACCGGGACCAGAACCGGCACCGGGACCAGAACCGGCACCAGGATCGGGACCGGGACCGGGACCGGGACCAGAACCGGGACCGGGATCGGCACTGGCACCGGGACCGGCACCGGGACCGTTCCCATCAGGAATCCCACTGGGATCCTTCCCATCAGGATGAGCTCCCGAAGGAGCAGCCCCAGCCCGTGGATCAGGATCAGCCCGTGGATCGGGATCGGGATCGGGATCAGCCCCATGGATTGGGATCAGCCCCATGGATCGGGATCAGCCCCATGGATTGGGATCAGCCCCATGGATTGGGATCAGCCCCATGGATCGGGATCAGCCCCATGGATCAGGATCAGCCCCATGGATCGGGATCAGCCCCATTGCCATCCCCTGGACCGGGTCCGGCCCATGCAGGGACCCACCCGCAGCACCTGGATGCGCTTCCGAGCCTCCTCCAGCTCCCGCTCGGCCGAGCCCGCGGGGATTTGCGGGGATCCAGCCCGGCCGGGAGGCTCCCGCTCCTGCCCGGACACACAGACCTGCGTTAAATAATGTAAAATACAGATCTAAACACAGACCTGTGTTAAATTAAATACAGATCTAAACACAGACCTGCGTTAAATAACATTAAATATAGATCTAAACACAGACCTGCGTTAAATAACATTAAATACAGATCTAAACACAGACCTGCCTTAAATTAAATACAGATCTAAACACAGACCTGCGTTAAATAACATTAAATACAGATCTAAAACCATGGATAAACCCCAATGGATGGGGGGAAAACAGAGCCATTTATATATATCTATAGATAGATAGATAGATAGATAGATATAGATACATAGATAGATATATAGATATATAGATATACAGATATACAGATATATAGATGATATATAGATGATATATAGATGATATATAGATATATAGATATATAGATATATAGATGATATATAGCTATATAGATATATAGATGATATATAGATATATATATAGATATAGATATATAGATATGTAGATATGTAGATATGTAGATATATAGATGTATAGATATATAGATATATAGATATATAGATATATAGATATATAGATATATAGATATATAGATATATAGATATATAGATATATATGTGTGTGTGTGTATTGGACAATGTACCCATTGCCTAACAGAGTAACAGATAATTAGATATGATGATAGAGATATGATAATTAGTTAATTCATTAAGCCACAGTGCGGGGCTCTGTGGGGGATCCCCAGGGTCCTGTCTGGGGTCAAAGGTCAGCGAATTTGGGGTGCGGGCTCCCCCCCTGACCCTCACCTCGTCCTGTGGGTCCTCGGAGGGCTCCGGTGGCATTCCCGGTTCCGGTGGCATTCCCGGCTCTTTCGGCATTCCCGGCTCCTGGAGCTGCTCCCGCAGCATTCCCGGTTCTTTCGGCATTCCCGGTTCCTTCGGCATTCCCGGTTCCCGCAGCATTCCCAGCTCCCGCTGTTCCCGGAGCTGCTCCCGGAGCATTCCCTTCTCCCGCCGCGCCTCCGCCAGCGCCCGCCGCGCCTCCTCCAGCCCCTCCTGGGACAGCGGGACAGCCCCGTGAGCCCCGGGACACACCGGGATACCCCCCCGGGACACCCCGGGACACACCGGGACACCCCCCCGGGACACACCGGGACACACCGGGACACCCCCCCGGGACACCCCGGGACACACCGGGA